AGGGTGCATCTACACTGTAGAATTAATGCAGTTTGATGCCACTTGAACATCCATGGCTCAATGTGATGGAATCCTGAAAGGTGTAGTTTTACAAGACCTTTTTTCTGCCTTCTCTGCCAAAGAGTGCAGATGCCTCACCAAAAAACAACTCCTAGGATTCCACTGCATTGAGCCAAGGCAGTTAAACTAGCATCAAACTGCATTAACCTTGCAGTGTAGATGCATTGTTATAGCTGTTATTAGAGGATGCATACTCTGTGAGACTTCTCTAAAGCAAGGATGGGGGTTGTGTCCCCCTCCAGATGTTGTTGTACTGCAACTCCCATCATCCATCACCATTGACTCTGTTGGTTAGGGCTGATAGGAGCTGCAACTCAGTACCATGTATACATTTCTTTCAAACTATTTTGAAAGCTAATGGCTGTCGCATTATTTAGATGTGAAGTAGTGGTTTGAGTTTGGTATAAATCTCTGGGAAACCAGAGTTTGAATACTTGCTCAGCCATGGAAATTTATAGATGGGAGATCACACTCTCTTAGCTTCACCCATAGCTTCTCCTAATAGTGCTCTCCCTGTGACTCTTCAGGTGTATTTGTATTGTAGAAGTAATGCTATTTGACACTACTTTCATGGCCATGGCTCAATGCAATGTATGAGGGTTGAATGAAAAGTAATGCCTCCACCTTCGTTACTTGGGTTTGGATGGGAATATTTTAATAAATCAAATGCAGAAATAATCCTTAAGATGTGCTCTTTAACTTGCTTGAAATTTCTCTCTGAGTGATACGACGATCGTCCTGATCCATCTGTCAACCTTTTGCTTGTGAAACTCGGTGGTTGCTGTCACAGGACGTCCAACTCTTTGTTTGTCATGCAAGTCATATGTTCCCACCTCAACATCTTTGAACATACTCGCCAGGCATGTAGCTGGGGGTGGGGGCTTGAGGGGCTTCAGCCCCCCCCCCCCGAAATTCTCAGGGTGGTCTGTGAGAAGGCCTTACTGGTACATTATGTTTAGCTGCAACCCAGCTATTGCGCTTTCTTCTTTTCTTCAAAACTGGTACATTATTTAAACTGTTATGTTTATTCATATCATGATCTGATCACCATGCTCATTATATCCCATATGCATGGGGGTATTGGGGTAACGATACAAAAGGTTTGCTAGGGTAGACCCTCTTTCACTCAGACTCAGCCCCCCCCCCATCAAAATCCTGCTTGTGCCCCAAATCAAAATCCTGGCTACGGTCCTGTTACTCGCCCAACAATGCACAGTATTCACATCAACACAATCACCATAAACAGCTTGCATTCTATGATGAATCTCCTTTGGGTTGACACCTTTCTGCTGTCAAGAATTCAATGACTGCATGTTGCTTAAGTCGCATTGACTGACCTTCTGCACAGGGTTCCATACTTTTCACTTTAACAATACAACCGTTCAATGCTAAGGCTTCCCACAAAAATGGAACTGTAGAGGAGAGTCTACTGAACAAGCCATGACCTGCCGCATACCAGTACTGCCATCTGTTGAGGATTTACAAAGATGGAGGCATTACTTTTCATTCAACCCTCGTATTCCTGGAAGTTGTAGTTTGGGGAGGCACCAATACTCTCTGTCAGAGAAGGCTAAAGTCCTTGTAATACTACAACTCCCACAATTCCATAGCATGGCACTTCAAGCTGCATAATTCTACAGCCTAGACCAGTTATGGACAAACTTCAGTCCTCCAAGTGTTTTGGTCTTCAACTCCCACAATTCCCGACAGCCATGCCTGGCATAGTTGCACCCAAACCAACACTCACCCAGTTCATTTGGGGAGATGCCACAAATGGCAAGAGAAGTTGCTTTCCAGAGTATTTATGAAACGAACAGCTCTGGTCCATGACGTGGAAATGACTACGCTATCCATCTGTTGAGCATCTGAAAGCATCCAGGCTTCGGAGAAGAGAACTCATCATGTGTCAGAGGTCTGACACAGCAGAGAGGCTAATGTATTTCTTTTCCTTCTTTATTGCCCCTTGACTCTTTTTCCAAAAGGGTTTCTACCTCTCAGTTAGAGTGAATCAGCAGAGAGAGTTTGCCGTAATGAAGCGGAGAGAAGCCTGCCTTTGCTGCTCTCCAAGGACAGAAGTGAATCCATTATAGGCCTGACCTCATCTTTCCAACCACAGCAAGAGAAGTCTCTTGGATGCAAAAAAGCTTATCACATCACTCTTAGTATTGTTTTCTTTACATCTCTCTTCTTTTGTCCAAATTGTTGCACTCAGAATGTTTCTATTTAGGTGAAAACATACTTATCCTATAAATAATTTAACCAATTCAAAGGGAGAATTTAATCTATTTATTTACAGTATTTATATTCCATTCTTCTCGCCCCGAAGGGGACTCAGAATGGATCACAGAACACATATATGGCAAACATTCAATGCCAATTATACAATTGTGGCAGAATAAAAAAGACGTGCGGTTCATGCTTTAATCAGTCCACACATTGTCTTGCCAGAGGAAAAAAAGTACCACGCAGGTGACCATTAAAGTAAATGTTTACTCTTTATAATGCAGAGCTACATATATACAGTCATGTGGACAGTTGCATTGACTCACACAATGTCCTTTGAGAGAGACTCAGATGGTCTTCAGGTGTCTATGTGGGAGATCTTCTTTCAGCAGCTATTTTATTTATTTGTCGTGTCATGGCAACCAGTCAATTATATTACATTTCTAACAGAACAAAGCAAACAAACAGACAAAATACAAAATTTGTGAGTTTGGTAGTTGATTAAATGTCCTTTGACCAGTATCTTGCCACTTGGAGTGCCTCTGGTGTTGCTGCAAGAAGGTCCTCCATTGTGCATGTGGCAGGGCTCAGGTTGCATTGCAGCAGGTGGTCAGTGGTTTGCTCTTCTCCACACTCGCATGTCGAGGATTCCACTTTGTAGCCCCATTTCTGAAGGTTGGCTCTGCATCTCATGGTGCCAGAGCGCAGTCTGTTCAGCGCCTTCCAAGTCGCCCAGTCCTCTGTGTGCCCAGGGGGGAGTCTCTCATTTGGTATCAGCCATTGGTGGAGGTTCTGGGTTTGAGCCTGCCACTTTTGGACTCTCGCTTGCTGAGGTATTCCAGCGAGTGTCTCTGTAGATCTTAGAAAACTATTTCTAGATTTAAGTCGTTGATATGCTGGCTGATATCCAAACAGGGGATGAGCTGGGGATGTTTCTGCCTTTCAGCAGCTCATGAAGCAAGAACTCAAACTGTTTCTCTGTGCTAGCTAATGCATAACTCAAACCTAAATATGTAACTGTTGCCAAAATTCCCAGGCTCAGCTAGCTTGTCAGCTTCATGCCTTGCATTTTCAGTTAACACACTCAACAACTGATTTTTACTTGTCCTAACAATGACAAGACAGACAACATAGAGAAAGGTATATATAGGCTTTCAGCATCTTGGAGGCTTTGCTTGGTTCCAGCCACATAGAGGTGCTCTCGATCCATCTTTCCTGCCAAAGAACTTTTTAGTTTATAATCTTGATAGAACCACTATGCCTAAAAACCTCCCCACTTTAACGTGGTACCTATGTAGTTTTCAATATGCTAGGTGGGCAGGGAGCTGGGCTGAAGGTCAAGGAGCTCACCCTGATCCAATCTTTGAACTGTCAACCTTTCAGTTGGCAAGATTTACTGCAGCTGGTGATTAACCTGCTGTGCTAAAACCTGGCCATATCTACACATCTAACCTACATCTACACTATAGAATCAATGCAGTTTGGCACCACTTGAGCTGCTATGGCCCAATGCTACGAAACCATGGGAGATGTAGTTTTGTAAGGTCTTTAGCCTTCTCTGCCAAAGAGTGTTGGTGCTTCACCATACAACATTTCTCCTGATCCCATAGCAGTTAAGGTGGTGCCAAACTGCATTAATTTTATAGTGTAGATGTAACTGCAGGCTACACAACATTGATGTTAGACAGAAGTCACAGAATACAAAAATCGAGGAGTAGCATTAGGTAGAAATGTTATGCTTAAAATATAGTCCGAGTCTTCATGTCTAACAAATTGGAAATATTTCTGAGAGCTCCATTGGCGCCAAATTAAATTGCTTTGGGAGACAGGCAGCTGATGAGACCTGGTTTCCCATCGTTTTCCTCCTTTAATATTTTCTCGGCTCAAGAGCAGAAAGAGCAGGACTTCATTTTGCCTGAACATTTTGTCCCTAAATTGAAACCTATCTTATAAGCATAGAATATTTAAGGAAATAAATTGATTTTCATCCCAAAAGTTATTGCAACTTGGACCAGAGAGATTTGGTGTGCAATTGCACATGTTTTCGATTGTTTGGCTGTGTTTACTACATATTGATGGCTTCTCTTTTTCTCTCTCTTTCTGTTTTGTTTCACAGATAAACTTTGTATTTCTCTTCAACATAGTTAGGATTTTAATGACGAAACTGAGAGCCTCAACCACATCAGAAACAATACAGTACAGGTACGTTGAGCATTTTTAAATATTACTTTTTTGGGGGGGAAATGGCATTCATAACCTTTTTGAAAAGGAAAAATGGTGTCATAACCTTTTGGCAAATGTGAATCTCCATGAACATCTGGAGACAACCTTTTGAAAACCACTAGTCAAGGAAAGGCATGACCTTTGAAGGAAAGTAAAAACAACTCATAACGATAATGCAAAGTGTTCACAATTCTTCCACTGCCATTGAGAGGGAAAGAAAGATCTTTGAAGACTCACTTTGGATTCAGTTCCCATAATTTCCTGACATGTTGGTTGGGGATTCTGGGAGTTGTAATCCAAAATGAAGCTTTTCCAAGCATTTAGGAAAACTATCCTAGACTCTTGGGAAATGAAACAGACACTGTTCGACTAGATGGAGAAATAAGGGTGCATCTACACTGCAGAATTAATGTAGCTCGACCCCACTTTAAGGGATGTGGCTCAGAGCTATGGAATCATGGGATTTGGAGTTTTACAAGGTCTTTAAACTTCACTGCCAAAGGCTGCTAGTGCCTCACCAAACTACAACTCCTAGAATTCTGCAGCATTGAGCCGTGAGAGTTAAAGTGCTATCAAACAGCGTTAATTCTATTTATATATTTATTTGCATTATTTCTACCCCGCTCTTATCATAGAATCAAAGAGTTGGAAGAGACCTCATGGGCCATTCAGTCCAACCCCTACTGAACAAGCCAGTACCTGCCGCATACCAATACTGCCATCTGTTGAGGAGTTAGGAAGGTGGAGGCATTACTTTTCATTCAATCCTCATATTCCTGGAAGTTGTAGTTTGGTGAGGCACCAATACTCTTTGTCAGAGAAGGCTAAAGTCCTTGTAGTACTACAACTCCCACAATTCCATAGCTTCGGTCAGCAAGGATTTAAATGTCCCAGTCCAGCACTCCAATCCACACAACTGGCTACAAAGGAGTGAACAAAAAAGGAGTGATATAAATGCTTAAAACAGAGTGAGCATATTAGGGAAGTCATAAAGGAATCAGCACTATCACATAGATTCATTGCACTCTCGTGAATCTGGAAAGGAGCTATTAGGATGTCACCGAACCTCCATTGTCTTGTGTAGGAAACGTCTGCGTCCTTTCAATCCCGTATTATTTTGACAATCCTCAATCCCGCTTGCTAAACATCCATATATTTTGCCGCTTCCTCACTTTGCAATTAGGGAAGTCAGTCTGGTGTCATGGTTTGAGTTCCTTTGCAGCCGGGTAAAAACAGACACCTATTATTACCGTGGAAATTAAAAACATAGACCTGTTACGGCTGAGATTGTTCTGCAAAATGTCATCTTGCAAATTCTATCTGAAATCACCCTCCTTTTAATTACATCTCTGAGGTTTCTGTCTGCTGTGTTTTGGCTCAGTCTAAGAATATTTCCAAACCATGACAATCTAGATTTGCTGAGTGCAATGCCAGGACCGGAGACCTCAGTCCTTGAAGCCATATGGAGTATGACTAAACTATAGAATTAATACAGTTTGATACCACTCTAGCTCACATGGTGATGCAATGGGTTAAACCTTTGTGCCAGCAAAACTGAAGACCGACAGGTCAAAGGTTCGAATCCGGGGAGACCATGGATGAGCTCCATCTGTCAGCTCCAGCTCTCCGTGCGGGGACATGAGAGAATCCTCCTGCAAGGATGGTAAAACATCAAAACATCCAGGCATCCTCTGGGCAACATCCTTGCAGACTCTTGTGCCGGCAAAACTGAAGGCCGACAGGTCAGGGGTTCAAATCTGGGGAGAGCATGGATGAGCTCCTTCTGCCAGCTCCAGCTCCCCATGCGGGGACGTGAGAGAATCTTCCCGTAAGGATGGTAAAACATCAAAACATCCAGGCATCCCCTGGGCAGCATCCTTGCAGACTCTTGTGCCGGCAAAACTGAAGGCCGACAGGTCAGAGGTTCGAATCCAGGGAGAGTATGCATGAGCTCCCTCTGTCAGCTCCAGCTCCCCATGCGGGGACATGAGAGAAGCCTTCCACAAGTGGGTAATAAAATTTGCGGGGGAAATTGTTCCTGGAAGTGTTATTTCCTGTTTACTTGTGCAGTACATACTTTGAAAGTAGTTATTATACTCCAGAAACTTGTTGCACTCCAGAAAAGGAAAAGCTCTCTGACCGTTGAGTAGGGAAACAATCCTTTTATTGAAGACTAGCTGTACCCGCCACACGTTGCTGTGGCCAACCTTTCCTCCCTCTTTCTCTCCTTTCTTTCTCTCCTTCCTTCCTTCCCTCTTTCCTTCCTTCCCTTTTTTTCTTTCATTTTCTCCTTCCTTCCTTCCTTCCTTCCTTCCTTCCTTCCTTCCTTCTCTTCCTCTTCCCTTCCTTCCCCCTCCCTTTTTTCCCTTCCCCTTTCTCCTCTTTCTTCCTTCTCTACTTATTCTTGGATTGCAACTCCCAGCAGTCCTCCTGATCAATCTATCTACCTGTCTATCTCTATCTAATCTATCTTATCTATCTGGAGGATTGCTGGGAGTTGCAGTCCAGGAATAGGAATTTGGAAATATGCAGGGATTGAGATGCTCTCAAAGAAAGATTTTTATTTATAGAGATAATTAAAAAGCAGTAAAGTAGAAAGCACTTTAAAGAAATAGGTAAATCCAATTAGGTAAAAAGATAAGCAGGAACAAAGTTGTCCAGGGTAATGGTCCAGCAAAGTCCATAAAAACAAAGTCAAAACTTCCCAAATAAAAATACAAGAAATTAGGAAACATGAATCCAATGCATGAATACAAAATCATAGAATCCAAGAATCAAAAGGCATTTAAACATGAATTTTCCAAGCAGAGCTTCCATGAACCAAGGACGAGATCTTGACTCGATTCCAAATGATGCTTCATCTTACTACATATTTTGTACTTGGGAGTTTTATCTCCTCGTTAGCTATGTCTATAGCACTCAGAAATTGGTTTCGCTTTAGCTGAGAGTCTCTTATCTTTTTTTCTCAGAGCCTGGCAGAAAGCCAAAGCCACTGTTCGGCTCTTCTGTTTTGACTAATCTCCTCTCGTCTATCTATTTGCTCAATAATTTCTGTAGGTGCCGAGCTGTTTTCAAGTTCCAAATCATGGGAACTCTCTGGTAGCAATTCAGGGAGCACACCATTATCCACACACACTACAGGGACAGTCTCATGGGAAACTACACTTTGAACAGGGATCTCCTGGTCATTCTCTGCATCAATATCACTGACCAAACCATTGCCATCTTGAAACTCATTGGCATCACTCCCCACATCCAAAGCACCCTGATCCTGAAACACAATCACAGGCTGAGCTCCAACAAAACTTTGTGTTTTGTGGCTGCCACAAACTAGGTTGAATAGGTTGAGACTCGGTGAGATATTCATTGAAAAACTAGAGCAAAACATGCTGTAGGATGTCCCACAAAAACAAACCTTTTGCAGTTTAATCAACTTCGTCCATGTTTTTATGATAGAACCAATTAGGAAATGACATTTATAACCCAGGAACAAAAACTGTGTTACACGTTGCTATTCACTGCCTCCTTCTCTTTCCATCTTTCTTTCACAGGAAGGCAGTCAAAGCAACCTTAGTCCTCCTGCCTCTGCTGGGGATCACCTACATGCTCTTCTTCGTCAACCCTGGAGAAGACGACATCTCCCAGATCTTTTTCATCTACTTCAATTCCTTCCTGCAGTCTTTTCAGGTAGATGAGAAAAGGAATGTGTGGAACACGGATTTCCAGAGATATAGGAGATTCCTAAGGCTTGCAGCATCATTAGAATGTCTTGTATTGACAATACAGATGGTAAACAAGCCATGCCCATGCTGCCTGAAGATGATGGGAACTGTAGTCTGAGAAATCGGGAAAGGACCAGATTGAGGAAGGGAAGGGGTAACATACTGAACTATGGATAGGTTAAGATGGAGAAAGGATGTTGTACATCCTTTCAGACAAGACAGGGGTCCTCCTGGTCAGTCGCAAAGCCGAACAGGGTATAGGGTCACAACCTGTGCTGGATGGGGTTACAATCCCCTTGAAGGCACAGGTTCATAGCTTGGGGGTTCTCCTGGACTCATCACTGAGCCTGGAATCCCAGGTTGCAGCGGTGGCCAGGGGAGCGTTCGCACAATTAAAACTTGTGCGCCAGCTGCACCCGTACCTTGGGAAGTCAGACTTGGCCGCAGTGGTCCATGCTCTCGTTACATCTAGGATAGACTACTGCAACACACTGTACATGGGATTGCCTTTGAAGACTGCTCGGAAGCTTCAAATAGTCCAGCAAGAGGCAGCCAGGTTAATAACTGGGGTGGCGTACAGGGAGCATACAACTCCTATGTTACGCCAGCTCCACTGGCTGCCAATTTGCTACCGGGCACAATTCAAAGTGCTGGCTTTGGCCTATAAAGCCCTAAAAGGCCCCGGCCCAAATTACCTGTCCGAACGCACCCCCCCCCCCCCCCCACCATGAGATTAATCCCCCCTGGAGATTAAGATCCTCTGGAGAGGCCCTGCTTTCCATCCCGCCATTGTCACAGGCATGATTGGTGTGGATGAGAGGCAGGGCCTTCTCGGTGATTGCTACCCGGCTATGGAACTCCCTTCCTGGTGAAATCAGATCAGCCCTCTCTCTCCTGTCCTTTAGAAAGATGGTAAAAACTTGGCTGTGGAACCAAGCTTTATTATTTATTTATTTATTTATTATTAACTTTATTTGTACCCCGCTAACACCTCCCGTAGGACTCGATGCGGCTTACAAAGGCCAAGGCCTCAATAAAAACAACAGCATAACAATACAGGGCAATAAAGCATCCATAGGAAAGATGACCAGGCCAATTAGATTTGACGTGGATAACTAGGATGGTTTTAAATGGTGTATTTTAATATTTTGGTAAATGTTTTAATGTTTATGTATGTATATAAGAATTTGTGTCCCGGCATTGAATGTTGCCGTATATATGCTGTGCTCTGCCCTGAGTCCCCTTCGGGGTGAGAAAGGTGGAATATAAATGTTATAAATGAATAAATGAATGAATGAATGAATGAATGAATGAATGAATGAATAAATAAATAAAATAAATAAAAAATAAAGTGAAGCTGTCTGCATCCAGGGAATAGTAATAACACTCAGGGCAGATTCCAGATGCAGGAAAACATTCAAGGCCTTTGAAACAACAAAACATACACAGACAAAGGCAAAGGCTTCTTCTCTCATCTCCGGCTCTGGGGGCAGTGTTCATCATTGGCTCTGGAGGACGTGTTCATATCCATTTCCAAGCCGAGGAGCCTGCGTTGTCCATAGACACCTCCTAGGTTTTGTGGCTGCCATGACTGCATGGAGCACCAATTACTTTACCTATTGATCTACTCACATTTAATAATAATAATAATCTTTATTTATATCCTGCCACCATCTCCCCAAGGGGACTCGGGGCAGCTTACATGAGGCCAAGCCCAACAACATATCAATAAAACAACAAATCAGTAAGCAAATTAATCAATACAATTAATATAATATTTGCATGTTTTCAAACTGCTAGGCTGGCAGGAGCTGGGGCTAACTGCAGAACCTCACCCCATCCCGTGGATTCGAACTGTCAACCTTTAGGTCAGCAGTTCAGCAGCTCAACTGTTAACCCGTTGTGCCACCGCAGCTCCTGAAATGAGGGGAATTTCAGCTTCCCCTCATTTTTATCCAAAACGTTTTCACTGCCATGGCTCAATGCTGTGGGATTATGGGAGTTGTAGTTTGGTGATGCAATGTCAATGTTTGGCAAAGAAGGTCAAACACCTTATGGAACTACAACTCCCATGATCCCATAGCCTTGAGCCATGGTAGTTAAAGTGGGGTCAAATTTCATCAGTTCGACAGTGTAGATGCAGACTGAACCACAGAGGGACTAAACCGAATGAATGAATAATGGTAATGGTCTAGAGGCATTCTCTCCTGACGTTTCACCTGCATCTATGGCAAGCATCCTCAGAGGTAGTGAGGTCTGTTGGAACTAGGAAAATGGGTTTATATATCTGTGGAATGACCAGGGTGGGACAAAGGACTCTTGTCTGCTGGAGCTAGGTGTGAATGTTTCAACTGACCACCTTGATTAGCATATAATGGCCTGACAGTGCCTAGAGCAAACTTTTGTTGAGAGGTGATTAGCTCCAGCAGACAAGAATCCTTTGTCTCACCCTGGTCATTCCACAGATATATAAACCCTTTTTTCTAGTTCCAACAGACCTCACTACCTCTGAGGATGCTTGCCATAGATGCAGGCGAAACGTCAGGAGAGAATGCCTCTAGACCATGGCCATATAGCCCGAAAAAACCTACAACAACCCAGTGATTCCGGCCATGAAAGCCTTCGACAATACATTGAATGATGGTAAGTTAACTTTAAAGTCAGTTAATTCAGGCATCAGTTCAAATCAGGCTTACAATAGGGTTTGGACCATGATATTTACATTTGAAATGTTCTATATTCATCATTTTCTTGGGCAGAAAAAAAATAAAACTGCAATTTTCTTCTTTTTTTAGGGCTTTTTTGTGTCTGTGTTTTACTGCTTCTTGAACGGTGAGGTAAGTTGTGCCATCGCTCCATCCATATTGCCATATAATGCAGTTTGAAGCTGCATTGTGTAGTCAGTGTAGGCTCATATAATACAGTTCAGTGCAGTTCGTCTGGATCATAGTAGTCTACACTGATGATGTAATGCAGTCTCAAATGACATTACATGGTGTCGAAGGCTTTCATGGATGGAAGTGTCTTAGTTGTGTTGGCTGCAATGCAATGGGAAATTCATCCCCATTAAAATCTGTCCAAGTGTCCATACTTTGCCAACAACAGAACCAACAGCACGCTCAACTCAGGTGATGTGTGCCATATACATACAATTTAGTTCAAAGTGGGTTGTTGTGAGTTTTCCAGGTTGTATGGCCATGTCCAGAAGCATTCTCTCCTGATGTTTCACCCACATCTATGGCAGGCATCCTCAGAAGTTGTGAGGTCTGTTAGAAACTAGGCAAATCAGGTTTATGTATCTGTGAAATGTCCATGGTGGGAGAAAGAACTCTAAAACTCTAAAATCAGGACAGTAAATAAAGAACAACAATCAGAAAAAGGGGGAAACAATCGGGGCCAGCTAACACCTCCCAACAAAGTATTCCCTCAGGCAGGAAGCAACCAAGCTTTGAAGCTGCAAGGCCATTTGATGCTAATCAAGGTGGCCAATTACACCATTCATACTTACCTCAGACAGACAAGAGTTCTCCCACGCTGGATATTCCACAGATATATCAACTCCACTTGCCTAGTTTCCAACAGATCTCACAACCTCTGAGGATGCCTGCCATAGATGTGGGTGAAACGTCAGGAGATAATGCTTCTGGAATATGGCCACACAGCCCAAAAAACTTACAGCAACCCAGTGATTCCAGCGATAAAGCCTTCGACATCATATCTCCTACTACTCTTCTAATGTCTGTGGTGGAGTACAGCTAATCACCTCTCAACAAAGAATTCCCCCAGGCAGTTAGAAGCCACACCTTGAAAACTGCTAGGCCATTAAATACTAATCAAGGTGGCCAATTGAAACATTCACACCTACTTCAAACTTACATGAGCTCTTTCTCCCGCCGTGGACATTCTACAGATACATAAACCCCACTTACCTAGTTTCCAACAAACCTCACCATCTCTGAGGATGCCTGCCATAGATGTGGGTGAAACGTCAGGAGAGAATGCTTCTGGAACATGGCCATACAGCCCAGAAAACACACAGCAACCCAACATTATGTGGTATTGTAGGAATGGCCCATGCCTATCTGCATAATCCGTTGGTCCAAAGCAGATGGGTTTTAGCAAATCGAAACACTTTCTAAAACAGCAGACCCCATCAATTGCATCCTAACCACAGTCTTGATAATACAGCTCCTAGAGTGCAATTTTGAAAAGGTTTTTCTTTTAATCTGGTATATAACAGGGGAAAATGATTGTGTGACACCACTTTTGATAATGCCATTTGAAAGCTGTTTTCATTGATCACGCCCACTCCCCATTTTCCCATTATGGACTGTTTTATTTCTCCTCTCTCTTCTTTGCACTCCGGGGAGAGGTCTTCTGTCTTCCGTCTCCAAACCATTCATTATCCTCTCAGCAATTCCACTCAGTGCAGCCAATCTCATCTTTTCCCCTTGTCTTCTTCCTGCACTGATCCGGAAGCCTTGTTGGAGTCCTTAATAACGATGCCATTCATTTCTGCCTCTCTTCTACATATCCGTTCCACCTTTTGTGTGTGTGTGTCGTCCTGACCGGCACCGGATACGACATCCCATTAGTTCAGACGATGGCACTGATGATAATAATTTGCAGATTCATTTGACTTCTCGTTCTGTCGGTGCATTTCTCAGCTTTCCTCTTGGCAAGTTAAGTAAAGCAGAGGTCTTCAGGGACTTGTTTGCAGTGACCCTTCAGCGCAGTACTTGCAATTACAATTGCGCTTCTGGAGACCTACAAATGCAGGCTTGGCTCCTGCTTTAAACTGTACAGAAGCTTTGCTGATGCTGGAATGTGCCACTGCAGAATTATTTATTTCATAGCAACTGCAGAATTATTTATTTATTGTCTCAGAAGCGAGTTGAGGGTACAGTTATAATGTATTTAAAAACACAAACAAAGTTAAAAACTTGGCATGATGCTAAATATCCTTTGACCAGAAACTGGCCACTTGGAGTGCCTCTGGTGTCACTGTGAGAAGTGCATGCGGCAGGGCTCAGGTTGCATTGTAATAGGTAGTGTGTAGTTTGCTCTTCTCCACAGTTGCATGTCGTGGACTCCACTTTGTAGCCCCATTTCTTAAGGGTACCGTAGTACCAGAGCGCAGTCTGTTCAGCACCTTCCAAGTCGGCCAGTCTTCTGTGTGCCCAGGAAGGAGTTTCTCATCCTGTCTCAGCCATTGATTGAGATTCCAGGTTTATGCCTGCCACTTTTGGACTCTTGCTTGCTGAGGAGTTCCTGCGAGTATCTCTATAGATCTTAGGAAGCCGTTTCTTGATTTAAGATGTTGGCATGCTGGCTGATATCCAAAGAGAGAATGTTCGGAACTGCAGAATGATTGGCTGTGAAATCAGGAGCAGATTTGCCAATGATTGGCTGTGAAATCAGGAGCAGATCTAGCATTGGCAAATCCACTTGCCACCCCTGAACAAGAAGGTGGCTCATTTATTTATTTATTTATTTGTTTGTTTGTTTGTTTGTTTGTTTATTGGAGCATAGTGTCTAGATCTAGGGAAGTAATGCAACCCCTTTATTCTGCTCTGGTTAGACCACACCTGGGAGAACAAGCCCTATGAGGAGCGGCTTAAGGAGCTGGGCATGTTTAGCCTTAAGAAGAGAAGGCTGAGAGGAGATATGATAGCCATGTATAAATATGTGAGAGGAAGCCACAGGGAGGAGAGAGCAAGCTTGTTTTCTGCTTCCTTGGAGACTAGGACGCGGAACAATGGCTTCAAACTACAAGAGAAGAGATTCCATCTGAACATGAGGAAGAACTTCCTGACTGTGAGAGCCGTTCAGCAGTGGAACTCTCTGCCCCGGAGTGTGGTGGAGGCTCCTTCTTTGGAAGCTTTTAAACAGGGGCTGGATGGCCATCTGTCAGGGGTGATTTGAATGCAATATTCCTGCTTCTTGGCAGGGGGTTGGACTGGATGGCCCATGAGGTCTCTTCCAACTCTTTGATTCTATGATTCTATGATTTCCAGAATTTCTACGCCATCCTTCTCAACCCCGTCCTTCTCATCCTCAACCTGGACGGCTTACATTGGCACAGTTTGATGCCATTAAATATAACAAAGCAATATAACAACAATTAAAACAATAAATAGCACATTAATTAAAACAATAAAAACAGCATTAGCCACCGTATCACCATTCCAGTCAAATTCCATATCCAAAGCGCTATTAATGCCTGCTGTCCAAAAGCCCGGTCCCAGAACCACGATTTCAATTTCTTCCTAAAAGACAGGAGTGATGAAACTGATCTTACCTCATTGGGAAGCAAATTCCACAGGCGGGGGGCTACAGCTGAGAAGGCGTATTTGCGACGCTGCATCACTTCACCCCCAAAAAGAATGGGTGATATTTAGTCAGGCAACCGGACAACATGGCGGGTCCAGCAGAGTAGATGGCGGAGGACCATCGCTTCAATGCTGGTGGTCTTTGCTTCTTCCAGCATGCTGACATTTGTCTGCTTGTCTTCCCAAGAGATTTGCAGAATCTATGAATCTATGATATGAATATGATATGAATATATATGAATATATGAGGAATCTATGCCTTGGAAGGGAAATCCACTCCCGGAAGAGTCATTATCAGAGGAGAAGGGGCCTCCAATGAAGCTTTATCACCAATCCTTGTTTCCACAACATGCCAAATTTTCCAAAATCAAATTATCACAGTGACAGAAAGTGAAGTGAAATCTTGTGAACAGGCACCCAGGCAGCAAAGCAAACATCACAGAGATGTTAACCTTTCCCTATGCTATACAAAGCCATATATATATATATATATATATATATATATATATATATATATATGGAGTTACACTTAAAAATGTACCTGTTCCAACTTATATACAAATTCTACTTAATAGTATACCTACAGAATCTATCTTGTTCATAACTAGGGGATTGCCTGTATATAAATCCTTCTGGTGGTGCAGTGTGAAAGGTAGAGTTCACTAAGGTCTCCCGGAAAGCTAATGTTATCCCTTTGCTTCCCACCTTTGCAACCTTTTTGATATTTTCTGATTTGATATACCACCTTTTAACCCACTACGCGATCCAAGGCAGCTAAAGGCTAAAACAATACTCACCTGAAAATCAATATTTATTTCTGTGGAGTGGAAGTCAGGCTATTTCAACCACTCAGAAAAAGAAGTACACAGATCACAGTTACTCAGTTCTGGCCCTTCTCAGTCTGCCTCGAGTCGATGGCTCACCTGGGTACAATTTAAGATTGGCAGCTTCTTTCTGAAGAAGAAAGAAACAGCAGCTTTGCTAACAATTTCGGTTGAAGCAAGCTGACTTTTTGTTGTTGTTTGCATTGGTCAAACACTAACAGCAGTTGTTTCCAAGAGGCAATGGTGAGCTTCCCATTTGTGAAGAATATTTTTTTGTTAGCCAGCTTAAAATCTAAAGCAGCATTTCTCAACCTGGGGGTCAGGACCCCTGGGGGGGTTGCATTGGGGTGTCAGAGGGGTCACCAAATACCATCAGAAAACACAGTATTTTCTGTTGGTCGTGGGGGTTCTGTGTGGGAAGTTTGGCCCAATTCTATCGTTGGTGGCGTTCAGAATTCTCCTTGATTGTAGGTGAACTATAAATCCCAGCAACTACAACTCCCAAATGTCATGGTATATTCTTCCCCAACTCCAACAATGTTCACATTTGGGCATATTGAGTATTCATGACAAGTTTGGTCCAGCTCTATCATTGTTTGAGTTCAGAGAGCTCTCTGGATGTAGGTGAACTATAACTCCAAAACCCAAGATCAATGCCTACCAAACCCTTCCAGTATTTTC